AAAGCTGAGATAATCAGTACAAGTGGTGGAGAGAAAGACTTAATGCAAAATACATCATACAATTTCATTTCCAATTGTTGCACAATTGTACTTAACTGTGAGTTTTCCCTGAGTGCTGGTGTGCTATTAGAAGCCACAGAGCTACTTGGGATATGAAAGAAAACAAATTGGTAGGGATTAACAGACAAGTAGCAATAATAAGGGTTTAATAAATAGCAAAGTAGCTTATTTTGTTGTTGATGTGCCATGTGAGGCTGGAAGCCAAGCACAGTTGTTGTAGGGTTTGGTTTTTTTTTTATTATTATTATTATTCTGGGGTGTTGGCCAAAATTGTCCTGAACTTTTGAAACCTACTATTGGAGTGAACACTAGATTGTCTTGTTATTGTTGTTGGTGGTAATGAATAGAAAATATAAGGGATGAGATAAGTTGCAAATGTCTCTTCTCTGGGACAGAATGTGGGATTAGAGTGAACTGGCTAAGTTGGATTAGTGGTTTGGGCACTGGATTAAGACTCTGGAGACCAGGGTTTGAATCCCGGCTTGGCCGTGGAAACCCCCTAGGTGATCTTAGGCAAGCATACTCTCTCAGTTTCAGAGGATGGCAAGGACAAACCCCCTCTGAACAAAGGTTTATCTTAGGGTTGCCATAAATCAGAAACAACTTGAAGGCACACAACAACAAAACAGCAACAGGTGAAGGAGTGCAAGTTTGAACACTACCCCATGTAACAAAACCTCTGCACATGAGAGATAAGGATCTCAGGACAATGTTTTGGCCTATCTTTCTCCCTGACTTGAATGTTTTGTGATGATACCATGAAGAAATAATGTAGTTGACACTGCTTTAACAGTCCTGGCTTCATCCTACAGAATGCTGGGATTTGTAGTTTGGTGAGACACCAGCACTCTTTGGCAGAGAAGGCTAACGAATTGGCAAAACTGAAAATCCCAGAATTCAATGGGTTGGAGCCACAGCAGTTAAATGGGTGTCAAACTGCATTATTTCTACACTGCACATGCACCCAAGGAGAACTTTGTCACTAGTAGCATCCACTTGTGCTTCCCTGGTGTCCTCTTGGTACCAGGCAAAGACATTCTGAATTTGCTGGGCTTTTTTTTCATTTATTATTGTAAGATATTGTTTATTTTTGCTTTTATTAGAACCACATAAGGCTTCCAGCTTTCTCAGGTTATGAAAGTCTAGAGAAATAAGAGTAAATAAGAAGGTTAATAGAGTTTTGTTATCCTCTTAATTCCAGTGCCTGAAACCTCATTTCAAGGTGAAAAGGGAAATCAAATCCAGTCCTAGGGCTTACCTCTTGATACACTCTTTCCTGATAATTTCTTCTAAGACACATAACCAATCGGGACATCCTGTTATTACATTTAAAACTTTACATGGTTTGAGTCCAGGTTACTTATGGGATCACCTCCTTCCTTATAATCTTCCCCATAAACCCAGGTCTTCTGGGAAGCATTTACTTCAACTGGTCAGGACAAAACTAGCAACTGTGGAATTGCCAACTAGACATGCTTTCTGAATTTAAAACATTGTTAAAGACATATCTCTAACTACCCAGTCAATTTTAAATTATAAGTTTTAAATAGGTATATTTTAATCTGGATAATTTTAACATTTCATGGGTCATTTTAATTCTGTGTTTATGTGTTTTAACTTATGTGTTTAATGGTTAGTTATATATCACATTTCATCTATGTTGTACCATCTCTCAAGCCTTAGGGAGAGGCAGGTAAGAAAATCATCATCATAATCATCATCGATGTGAGATTTCCTACTCATATAATTTGAAGAAATGAATTGCCTCATTGTTGTCTGCAGATGTTTTTATTTCCTTCTACAATCCACCCAAATTTCTTCTCTATTTTCTACAATGCCTTACAACCTCAAGGATACAACAATGTTAGGAAGTGTAGAAGTCTCTCATCCCTGAGAACTGTTTCAAAGGTGGAAATAACTTATTTGCACTCTCCATATTCTTTTCCCCTCCTTCCTTTCCCATTTCTCAGTATTGCTTTCCTTCCCATTTGTCAAATGTTTTGCCTGAGCGGAGGTATCATACTCAATAGGAAAAGAAAATAAGAAATTGCTCTAAACAAAATGCAGTGAGAGTTCTTGGGGTTCGGGCACCGAGATCTGACAAATAATTAAGGAATCCGAGGTCTTCTTGCAAGATTCTCACCAAAATCCAATATTGTCACATTCTGGAAATTAAATAGCTTGGGTCCCGAAGTAGACTGGGGCAGAAAGGTGATGCATCACTGTCATAGGCCAAGATTAGTTTATAGATCACTGGCGGCACTTTAAGAATATTACAATTCAAGCCATAATATTCAAGCTGGATTGTCTGAAAGGCTCGCTGAGATGATCGATTGATAGCCTAAATCCTATTGTGAGTCCCAACTAGAATAGAGACATTGAATCAATTAGAATTACCTATACAGTGGCTTAGGGTGTAGCCCCACTGCAGATGTAAAGCAATCTGACACCACTTTAACTGTCATGGCTCTACCCTACCAAATCCTGAGTTGTAGCACTCTTTGATAGAGAAGGCTAAAGACCAAGTAAGACTACAATTCCCAGGATTCTGCGGGATGGAGCTACAGCATTGAGAGTGGTGCCGAACTGCAGTGTGGCTACACTCCTATTCATCAATTGATTTACTAGGTCTACTCTGTGTCTAACCAACAGCATTGAGCCAGCATGGTGTAGTGGTTTGAGAATTGGACTTCAGTTTTGCGGACCAGAGTTGATTCCCTCCTTGGCCATGGAAATCCACGAGGTGACTTGGGGTGAGTCACACATTGTCAGCCCCAGACAACCCCATGATAGGCTTGCCTTCAGGTCACCATAAGTTGGAAATTCTTGAAGGTGTACAACAACAGTCAGCTATCTAGCATGCACACTGTGTGTTTACAAGTAGATACATAACAGCTGCTGGTTGTCTTGGATCTATCTGTTTCCACTACACAATCAGAGTCTGATTTTATTATTTCTCATTATGAAATGCAACAATGATTTCAAAGTAATGGAAGGCAATAGGAAAAAAAGGAAGACCCCATTACAAATGGACAGATTCAATCAAGGAAGTCATAGCCCTGAGTTTGCAAAAACTGAGCAAGGCTGGTGACTTGGAGGTCTCTCATTCATTGGATCACCATAAGTCAAAGCTGAGTTGATAGCAATTACCAGCAGCAAGAGCATATCACCTAAAGACAATGCTTTTCATCTGAATCTTTGTTCTTATGAAGTCTAGTCTTATAGTCAGCCACCAATCACCAAGGACTAGGAACATATACATGTTTACCACCTGGTTACTGCAATATTGATTTCATGGGCCATCACAGATCTTACACTACAGAATGAATTTCATTATTATTATTATTATTATTATTATTATTATTATTATTATTATTATTATTATTTCTAGCCTGCCCCTCTGCTTGGCAATCAGGGTGGGTTACAACATAATTAAAACACAAAGAAGTTAAGACATCTTACATCCCAATCCCTAACTCTCCCACCCCTTCAAACTGAATTAAACCAATGAATAATTAAAATGCACCTAACAATATCACCTAACAAGGAATAATGCAAGTCCTGTTGATTTCAGACAGTCTATCCTAAGTATAACAAGTTTATTTTCCTTATTATAACACTGATGTGTTACAATCTTTATAATCAGTGTTATAACATATGATGTGTTTGTGTGCCTGCATTAATTATAATTATAATGTGAGCAACTAAAATGCATATAATGGGGGGAGAGGATAAAATATAATTTTGTGCAAATTGGTAAAATTGAACAAACAAATGCACAAATTAGGGAGAAATGTAACAAGAAAGTGAACAAATTTCATTGCAAAAAGAAATCACAAAGTGTTTCAAGCTTTACAGAGCAAAGATAAGTGGAAAATCCAGGTGGGATTCACAGAAACTCAATGAAACCAGGCTGATAAAAATAACATCTCTAATCTTAGAAGAGTGATATAAAGACTATCGTAAAATGTGAAGGCCCTTTGGGAAGACCCTTATCCACCAGCCCCCTTAGAAAATACAGTACTGATTCTCCTGTGGTCCCTCTGTCTAACATGATTCCATCATGCATGTGATACCGACACATCCCTTCCCCATTTGATAAAGCTTTGGAGCTCATCTTTTCCTGTTCTGTGATTCCAAAGAAATCTCTTGTGTGTTACATTTGAAATATTAAATCACTGCTTCTTTGTAATGGCTTTGTGAATTCCATTGACCTATTTTCAAGTCCCTTTCTTGAGATTGTTGTTCTGGCACGACACTTCTTGGTAATTATCCTCACTGGAAATTTAGTGAGCTTTTCTTTTCTTTTCTTTTCTTTTCTTTTCTTTTCTTTCTTTCATCCCACTGGAATAAAAAGCATTAGGAAATGCTATATCAGTAACAGGGACTCCTTAGCATCCCCATTGCCTTTTTCATATCAAATAAGAGATAGATGTGCATATTGAGCTGAGACCCCACCTTTTTTTTTAAAGACATTTAATTTCCTTTCCTGAACTTGATTAACTGTGAATTATTAGCTTTGTTAAATTAATAGCTTAAATTCTCCAGACATTTTTCAGTCATTTGGCCACAAGAGCTCAGGCACTGTGCCATAATCTGAAACCTAAATGCTTTGCCTTTACAGTTCCACCATATACTAAAGAAGCATTTTTTGTTTTTTTTGCATATGGAAATATGCGCTGGGGAAGGGGAAATAATCGTACTCCGGTCATAGCTAGTACAGGTTTTGCATTAGCATTAATGCAAGAGATATATTGCAGGGCATTATTTGGTGGCATGAGCATATTCAGCACTCTGTAATGTTATGATATAAGAAGAAAGGGATGATTTATCAAAATCCACCGGGCGATCAATTCATAACCACACAATAGATGTCTTTGTTTGCCTGACTGCAGCAGTACTAAATCATCGAAAATGCACAGAACACTGTAGCACTATAAAACATAGCACTCAGGAGAAGCTGCCTTATGGAAACCTGTGCAGCACAGGGCATTTTTAATAGCATCACATTTCCTGAATGAATGAGGTGGTATGCTCTTCCTCTCTGTCCACTTCAAATTGTTAATGCAATTGTGGCGCATTAGAAGATATGTCATTTTGGGCTGAGACATTATCTTAAGGAGGCGTTGTGTAATTTTATACCCATGGAGGTGGTTGTGAGACAAAGCCTTATTGGTGAATTTTGTGATGTTGCCCAACCAAATGCACAATGCACATCCACATCCATGTGCTACCATGCAAAACCCACATGCAATGTATAATCATGTCAATGGTACTACATGCTCCACTCTGTCTTCACAATCTTGAGTAGTATTCACCCATTCCACATTATACAACAATGTCTAGCTTCTTCTGTAGAATTTAAGTCTGCTTAAGACACTAGCAGAATTCCAAACCATGTTACACTGTTTAATAATAATAATAATAATAATAATAATAATAATAATAAGGAGTATGCCAAAATTGGGAGGGATAGTAGAAAGTTAGCA